GAAAACTTTGAATCAAATTGACTCTATGATCTGGTTGAATTGTAAATTGCCTTGAGATGGCGTGTTATGAATTGGCTCTATAGAAATAAACTGAATTTAAACTGAGTAGAATGTAGCGTCTAGAGAAATAACAGAAGGTTGGTGTTGCTAAATGGAAGGAAAGCGAGGCTGAAGTGTATTAGTGAAGTAAACTTGCCATTCCTCACATTCCTCCAGATGTAACCGGTGTGTGTGACCCTACCTTCCCCCTGTATGTTGGCAGGTTGCACAGGATATCGGACCGCAGGGCTTCATCGCTCAGAGTCCTGGAGCTGAGGCTGCGCCACACCTCGCTGTTCTCATCCGCTAGAATGTTGTTCCAGTGCCAGCAGACCAACGAGCAGCGCATCAGGTCAGACAGCTCTAAATAGGAGAAAATGTGCTCCAGCACTCGGGCAGGCAACCTCCCGGCTACCCCCGCGCCTCCGCTCGCAGCAGCAGCGTAGGACGAGCCGCCGGCGGAGCTGCAACTGGCCGCAGCTGCGCCCAGGCAGGGGGAACCTCCTCCCCCTCCGGCCGCTACAGACATTGGGTCCGTGCAGCTCACCGACAAAAACGGCCAACCGAAGAGTTTCACCGTGTGCTGTAGGACGACCCCTATAATGACCGAAACGGCGTCATTTTTACCTGTAAAACCGCAAACAGGTCGCAGTTAAGCCATGAGCATAGTCCCTGCTCTTCCCACTTCAATGGCTGAATAGAAGCGATGCGTCAAGGTCCTGGAAGAGCAAGTACGACACACGCAGCGTTGTCGAATAAATTAAAGCAATTTAAATATAAAAATCTCGAATATATTTAGCACCTTTAACGTCACGAAAGATACCGAGGTAAATAACACTTCGAATAAATACGGGTTAAAATCTGTTTGTGTTTTTTATATTGATCTTTCAGGACCGCATAGCTGTCATAGTCGTGAGCTCACATTTTTTTACGTTTTCAAAACTAAATGCATTGTTTCGTTATACAAAACAAAAACATTAAAAACTTAAACCATATTTTTCTAGATAAAAAAATATTTTATATTATGTTACGGAAGTTATTTATTACAAGTCTTAATATAAGGTGGTTTCCGGTTGTAAAAAAAATTATAATTTTATTCATAAGTAACATAAAAATGAATAATAAAGAAAATAATAATAATAAAATCTTTAAAAAATAATAATCAATCTGAAAAGATGAAGTTGAATTTGCCGCCATATTATGAGGGACCGTTTTGCTTTTGAAACACATACAGGACATTTTTCCCCCAGTGGTTTTCAAATAGGTTAACTAAGTACTACAAAAATAAAAAATAGCACTTTAGTATAGTTCCAGGGATAACTCGATGTAAGAATTTTATTTATTATGAAATGTGATTTTTTTTCCTCAAATTTACTTTACTAGATTTAGTCTTGCTTGCTTTCGTTTATATATATATATATATATATATATATATATATATATATATATATATATATATATACTAACATTAACACATATTACTACTAAAAAATATAATAGGTTAAGTCAGTTTTCAGGCTTTCCATGATGAACTGGCCACTCTCAATATGGCGGACGCGCTGGCGCATCGTTTTTGCTAGGTCAGGCAAAGCCAATGCAGCGATGAAATGTGCTATGAAAACCACGTGACCATGCATACACGGAAGTGACGCGCGGTGCTCAAAAGAGTTAAGCAAAGCATCTGGGGACAAAACAGCAGCTAGCTCAGTTTTAATTTAACAGCAGAGGACCGAGGCAAGGAGCGAGTACACGGCGGAAAACGGTTAACAGTAAGTTTTTAAATGGCTTGTGTTTAAAAAGAAGAGTAAGATTTGAGAGTTGTGCGTAATGTTTGGGACGGAGTCCGTCAGTGCAGAGCACAGCTGTCTCGGTTGCCTGCCCGTCTTCCTGCCTCCTGTCCGGCCGGGAGCAGCGCGGCCCTCTTGACAAGCCCGTCCCGTCTGCGTGCTGGCCGGGGACCGTCCCGTAGCTCAGCGCAGAGCCTCCGGTGATCTTTAGGTCAGACGGGACATCCGAGAAAAACATGCGAGGGGCGGGTGCGCTCTGGTAGCGGTGGCTTCTGTGTGATTAAAAACATGCGAGCTAAGCTAGCTTAACGATAACAAAGCGACGGGATGTTACGGAATTCCTGCGCTTAAAGTGAGGTTGCCATCTTCCCAGTTCGCACTACAGACACCTGACGACTGATTCAGCGGTGCACACCAAGTCCGACATGGATGTGCATAGGACAGATTTGAAAGAAAAACAGAATTATTGCTTAATTAGAATTACATGTTTGTAACTGAAAAAAAAAATGTAAATGAAAAAAATAAAAATAAAAAACCACCTCCTTAGTCATTAAGTAAAAAGACATTCAATTAGCTTGAATGCCGCCAAATAATGTTGAACTATTTTGACTGTTGTAGCTTTTGTTTTATAAAGATGCTCTTTTAAAATAAATTATTATTATTTTTTTAAGTTGTATGCTCAAATTTTATTTTTGTTTTTACTTTCCCATCCAATCCACATTAATAATATTAAATGTTCTTTTGACTCAGTTTTTATCGAATATGCTTTTTTGTAAAAGTGATGTAATTGTGTTTTCAACATCACCACCAGAGGGCAGCAAAGCACAGACTAGAAACATTAAAAATGAACCTTTTGTGGTTATTTATAATTATAAAAAATGGATGCCAGTCTTAAATAAATTTAGTTATGTTTTATAATCATACTGACATAATTATATGTTGTAATATGTTTTCTCAGAGCAGAAGTTATCATGAGCTACAAGCCGATTGAATTTAAAGTTAAAATCCATGTTTTTACATTTCAAAGGGCTACAGTCCAATAAAATAACACTTCTCGACACACATTTGTGCTAAAATTGTCAATCTGAAAAATAAAAAAACAAATCATTGCAATTGAGGATTTTTTTCATGATTTGATTTTTACCTTTGTAATGCTTCTCCTAACTTGTATCCTAAATTTATTTTTGAATGCAGCGACTGTAATCAGACCAGCATCATGAACCCTGTCTACAGCCCTGCACCAACAGGGGTCCCCTTCCCCAACACCAAGGGTTTGAGCTATCCAGGTAATTCCTAATACCAATGCATGCTATGAAATGGCACAGATTTATAACAGTCAACCTTATCTATTTTATGTGTTTGGCTGCAGCTGCTGGATTCCCTGTCGGCTATGCGACCGCTGGGCCTGCATACAGTCCAAATGTTTACGCAGGAGCCAACCCAACCTTCCACAGTGGTGAGAAACCAAATCTAACCTTCAATTTTTTTTTTTGTGCTTCCTTTATAATCAGTCTTGAATTCACTGTTTCTTGACATAAAGATCTACAGGAGTCTGCCTTAGTGGAGCACCATGTTAAAAGACCTCTGTCATATCCTCCAATGAGTATATATTAGTGGTGGGACTTTATAAAAATATTTTAATCGAGTTACAGGGTCTGTAATGAATTAATCAATTAAAATGAATCAAATTTTATTTCAAAAACCGTATAATTGACAAAATAAACCACCTTTTCAATTCATAAACCTTTTTTCAGCTCAGTTATTGATTAATTATGAACACAACAGCACATGTCTTTATTTATTTTTTTTTTATCTGACTATTTTGGTTATATGTGGGGGTATCCAGAATTTCCCAATTGTGGGACGATAAAGTTTATATATATATATATATATATAGTGCCATAATTAATCATATTATCCTGGCTGGGCTGAATTAATTACTCGGATAAATCGATTATTGAAATAATCGTGAACTAATTTAATAATCGATTAATCCTTAACTGGAAACTCTAAAACATGCCTTTAGCTGACAGAGCGACCCACTTGGAGCAGCAATTATATCAAAATTGTAAAAAAAAAAATATATAAACAGTTTGCATTTAAGATAAAAAAAATAAAAAAAACTTTCTCATCTGTCAATATACTCTGTCCTGAACTCCTGAAGTGGAAATGTTTTCGTTTCGTCAGGTTTAATTTCGTAAAAATTCATATTTAAGGAATTTTTGGCTTTCAATTTATTAATCGATTAAGTGAAAAAATAAATTACAGACTAATCAGTTTGCAAACTAACCATTACTTGCAGGCTTAATATTCCGTATTTTATACAATCTTGTTTGTCTGCATGATTATTTCATTTTAAGAATGTTTAAACATTTAATAAATATCTAGAAGGCCAGTTTGAGCAGCCTTTTCCCCAAACTGTTAATTATTAAGTATTTTTGTAAATGATAACTTCTACTTTTACGTGAGTAAAACATGAGTCAGCTAATTCTGGCGTCCTCTGGTCATCACCGTATTTGACAAGGGTAAATAAAAGCGTGTAGCTTTCCACCCTTCCTGCATAAAACATCCCTCCTTTTCATTATATTAGACTTTATGCTGACAAAGGTCTTACTTCTTAATTAAATCTGCTAAACCTTCAGTTTATCGCCTCATAGCCGGCTCTGCCTTTAATCACTTCTTAATGTAGCTCATGCTAACGGTTCTACCACACTGAATATATACGTGTCTTTTTTTTTTCTGAAAATTTTGCTCCATCAGCTTAGAAATGCTGTGCCTTTCTCCCTCTGCAATGATGTGTCTAGTGGACATAATGACTCCGGTTGACTAGAGACTCTGCTAGCTAACTTTGCTAAACAATGCGGGAAGCGGTGGAGACTGAGGGCTGAGCTGAGGGGGACAGAAAAATAAACCAACCCCTGTGTTTAGGGTCTCATATAGCCTACTGTTAAGTTTAATAAAACCAAAAGATAAATAACTGTATTTACATGCATTGTTGTATTATATAAAACAAAAACTATTAAAACTTAAACCATATTTTTCTAGATAAAAAAATATTTTATATAATATTACGGAAGTTATTTAATGCAAGTTTTAATATAAGGTGGCTTCCGGTTGTAAAAAAAATTATAGCTTTATTAATAAGTAACATAAAAAATGAATAATAAAGAAAAAATTATAATAAATTTTTTTTAAAATAATAATCAATCTGAAAAGATGAAGTTAAGTTTGCCGCCAGTAAGAATTGTATTTATTATAAAATGTATTTACATGCATTTTATGAGTTAAACATCCATTGTGTGTATATAAGAAAATGCAATACGTTTTTTTGAATGTGTTGAAATGTTTCTAAATATTAATAGAAATTAACGCGTTAAAGTCTCGGCCCTGATATATATATTAAAAGCAAATTGATAACAAAGTGTTCGACTTTAAACCGTAAATTACCTATTAAAACCTATTACATTTATTTAATAGGTGTATTTCTTTTTTTGTCAAAGAAGAAATAATTTCTTCATGTGGATGTTTCCTTTGCAAATTAACTGTAGTAGGAATGAAAATCAGTTATAGTAAAAGGACTTTAAAATTTACAAAAAGTGCTGTATATATGTTAGAATATTATTATTATGATTAACTTGGGATGAACTGGTGTGATACCACTAGGCTTCAAAGGTTAGACCACCCAGTGTGTGTGCGTTTCCGTGGTTACGCTCCCAGAGCTCATCCCACTCCAAACTGCAGTAAACAATAACAGAAGTGTTTCCTCTCCTCAGGCTACGCTACTGGGACCGCTTTCAAAATGTCCTGCTCTCCCAACACGGGAACCGTCCCTCCTTACTCCTCCTCTCCCAACCCTTACCCCACTGCTGTTTACCCCGTCAGGAGCACCTATCCCCAACAGAGCCCTTACGCCCAGGTCAGTGAGTTAGCTTAAGGATGCGGGAACTGATTTAACCCGTTATCTCTGATAAAGTTCACTTACTGTTGTTCCTCTGTGATCCAGGCACTAATACCTTCACAACAACAAGGCACGTATTACACACAGCCGCTGTACGCTGCTCCGCCTCATGTCATCCATCACACGACAGTGGTCCAGCCCAACGGGATGCCCGCAGCTATGTACGCCCCGCATATCCCTCCTTCTCGCCACAACGGCGTAACCATGGGGATGGTAGCAGGCACAACCATGGCCATGTCAGCAGGTGAGCTCCACCCGATGATGATCATTCGTTTGTATCCAAATCAGAACTAAAACCTGTTTGTGCTGCTTCACAGGAACTTTGCTGACAAGTCCATCACCAGCACCCGTCGCCCACCATCAAGTAACGATGCCCACATATCGGCCCCCTGGCACCCCCAGCTACAGTTATGTGCCCCCGCAGTGGTGAAGAGACGGAAACGTGAGTGCAATGTACGCCTTACATTCCTCTGCATCTCCAGTGCTAGGAAAGCACAGTGCATTTTAGCCTCCAATGCTAAAATACAGCACAGCCGGTTGGTGCAGATGAATTTTTTATTTTATTTTTTTACAAAGAACTTAAAAAAATAGAGATGCACTGATCCAATATTACGATCCAATTGGTCATGATATTGAAGAAAATTCTAGACTGTTTATTAATGAAAACATAAAACATAAAGAATCTTTATTTCTA